CAGCACCGGGGTGCCCCAGCTGAGCTGCCCGGCTCCGGCTCAGCACGCTCATCGCAGCCGTCTCTCCCCTCGTGCAGCATTCGGTCATCATTTACTCTTCACCGGGGCACGACCGCTGGGTAACCCCCACCTGCCCGACCTGTGCTTCCTGCCGGATTTATAAACTCGTGGTGTTTCGAGTCACTGGTTTTGGAAGCGATACGGAGTAGGAGAGATAGAGAACACAGCGAGGGCTCCTGGCAGGCATGGGCAGGGGCTGGCGTGCTCCGGGGGGTTAATTATCCACTGCATTGCACGGACCAAGCGTAACGGCAGTAAAAACTCCATGGCGTTTAGAAGAACACAGTTAAAAATACTGCCTGGATGGATGGGAATGTCGCTGGCGTTTTGGAGGGTCAGCACTGCAGTCCCGGGGCGATGCCGTGCCGAGGCAGACCCCCGCCGAGCACCTCGGTATTTTTAGCACACCGCCGCTGTGCATCACTGGGCTCGTTTCGGTTCACAAGCCCTCTGCTTATCCCAGCGGTCTTCCTAGAAAGCTATTTATGGATCGCGACCAAGCTGCCTCCTGCCTGCCCTTGAAAGAGCTGTAAAGCCCAGGCTTCTGGAGCCTCTCACTGGAAGGTCCCTTTCCAGGACCAGAGGTGACGGTTTAGCTCTTTCCTGATCCCTTTCCAACGGGTCGGCACCCTGGGCGCTGGTAGGAAATTCCTGTACCTGCACTGCCCAGAGCCGTGCACGGACACAACTAAACCCATCGGTCTCCTGCCAGGAGTATCTTCTCCTTGTAGCCCACGTTATGTGCAAAGGTACGAGCTCCCGCGGGTAACGGCTGGGATGTTACTCCATGGGAGTGGGAATGGCTGGGATGGGCTCACTGGGATGGTGGAGAAGAGCCACGGCCCTGGGCTGGAGGCTCCAACTGCTCCGCTGACCTGACGTGAGAGCCGGCGGCAGGACTCCGCGTTCCCAAAGCACTCGAATAAAACAAAGTCCATGGGAGTCGCTGAGCGCCCATCAGTTTTCCAGACGGGGCCGTGCTTCGGTCTGATGTAGCATCTCAGGGCGGATGTCTGCGGGGTCACGCTCGGGCCTGAAAATCTTGGCCGAGCTTGTGATTCCTCCCTGGAATTTGGTCTTGGGCAAGGGAAGCTGTAATAAGCACTTCATTTGTCAGCTCTTCAGAGAGGGCCCCTACAGAATTGACCCAATTTTCATTTAATCCTTTTACTGTTATTTTTTTCTATTAACAATTTTCTTCTTTATACATAATCCTCACACTTCATTTGAGCATACACTCCAGTGCTCAAGTCTATGCCAAATTTTAGTCTAAAGAAATAGCTTAAAGCAGGGCTTTTAAAATGCAGGCTAAGTCAGCACATTAGAAACTGAAAACCCCCACTTTTTTTTTTTTTCGGTTGTTTTTTTAAGTTGGCGTGGAAGTCACTTTAAATTTCATTTAAGCTTCTGCCATACAGACCTAAGCATTTACTTTTATGCTCGGGAAAAATAAACTTCCTGGAACAGGTTTTGTGAAAACAAGGAAAGGTTGAGCTTAGAGCTGAGCTAGCAAAACCAGAGAATTAAGCTGCTGACCTCTGGCCTTCGGGATGCTCTCGGAGCCAGCGCCGAATTTAACAAGTATTAACCCAGGCTCCTGCGCTGGGGCCGGCGGTGCCCTCTCCGGGGAACGAGCACCGGCAAAGGTGGCGCGTTTCACGGCAGGCAGCGCCAGCGCTGCGGTTGCCGGTCACCGCGCCCGTCACCGACGCCCCGCTGCCAGCTTGGTCTGCGCGGGCAGGCACCGGCACTGCCCCAGCTTGGGGAACTGGGAGAAAAGCACAAAACCCCACCGGTTTTCAGGCATCAGCCCTGCTGGCTCCCGCCACGGCTCCCCCCACCACGGCGCGC